AAAGAGCGGTGGATTGTAGGACCACAAAAAGAAGGGTTGTCCAGGGACTGCGACAGTGAGTGGGATGTTTGAAAAGATTGCAGAGAAGTTTGGTATGTTTAATATCCGTGAGGGATCAAACTACAGCCGGAGCACCACTCAACCCCTTGGTGATGATCCCCATCTCGGAGGGGTTATAATTGGAACACTTTCAGATACAACCCTAAAAGAGGATTGTCCTGAACAAAAACCTATTCCATAAACTAACTTCCAAACATTAATACAACACATATAGGAAATGGCTAGAAAAGAATGAAAAATAATAGGAAAGAAAACATAAGAGAAACGGAACTGTTTTGGCAGGTTGTCTCTCGTGATTTGTGATTTTGAATCCTGTGGTACTATACCAACTACAGTACTGTGAGAAAATAATGTGGGAAAGAACCTGCATCACAGAAGGTATAGATTTCTACTCGAAGAATCCATCTCACATCTTGAAGTCGCTTTTCACTCATTCTCGAGCCTTATTAAAATCTGGTAGTATTCACTATACAGTACCGTGAGAAAACAATGTGGGAAAGAACCTGCATCACAAAATGTATAGATCTCTACTCATTCTCGAGCCTCATCAAAATCTGGTAGTATTCACTATGCATATCTCTCTTGGAAAATTTCATAGATCTATACAATTGATCCAACAAGTCATTCGATCTTGAAATGAAAAGTCGGTATTTGATGGTGATCTTATTTACTGCCCTATTATCAATGCATATGCTCCACAATTTATCTTTCTTAGAAAAATTGATATTTGATACTGATATAACACATGGATTGATACTCTTATGAATAACCTTCAGCTCTATCAGATTTTCAACCTACTTTTGTAGCGCCTCATACTTTGTTGGTTGTATTTGATAGGTTGTTTAGTTGGGAGCACCATCCTTGGTATGATATTTGTGACATATTATATATCTCATAAGGGTTATAATCGAGGTGGTGGGTTATCAGTTAGAACATCATATAATTCCTCCAATAGAAGCCGCACAATCTTAAATATCATCTTCTCTATCTCCTTGTCTTTCAACATCACCAAGTTTCGTCCTACTAGCGCATCTTTCATAGTTTATAGATATGTAGTATGTGATATTATAGCTCTCGTCTATGTTTGATTATTCATTAATGTTGATTTCTTTAAGGAAAAAAGTATAATGTGTTTTTTGCTCTTAATAATAAATAGGTATTATTGAGGTCACCATGAAGTATACCTATGAAAAACTTTCACAGTTGGCCAAACAAAATGTGACATGCATCTATAAACATAACATCACACCAGACGTAATCATATAACTTGTCTTTAATTGAGAAATTTATCAAGAAAATTGGATGGTAATTATTTTGGGTTGTGCAGCTCAATTCGTCCACCATCTATGTAGACATTGTTTTTTTCATATTTACCCCCATTTATAATGAGGTTGTACACTTTTCTCTTCATTGTGCAACAAGTCACAGTTGCTGCCTCTTCGGCTTAGTCTATAGAACTTGTTGAGCCACAAGTATCTCACCTTGATGTGTGGTTAGTTTTGATAACATAACTAATCAAACCCATGATAATTGAAGCAACTTTTATTATGTAAAGGTTTACAATCACGACTAAAAACATAATCGAGAAACACTACATTCGCAATGTCTGGCTATGGTCGAATAGGAAGATATGGGGACAGTGGTGGTGTATGTGTGGTGGTTGAGGGGTAGGAGTAGAAGAGAGGGAGGACTTGGTGGATGGGATTATGTATTTTGGATGGCGGGTTGCTAGGAACAAATAGGAGGGGAGGGCGGCGGTTGGATCTGAGAGAACTGGAGTTGACAGCTTGGGGTTAAGAGTCGAGAGAAAGGGGATGTGATGGCGGGCGGCTGGATCTAAGGGAATTGGAGGGAGCTAGTCGGCGGCTAAGAGCAGGTCGGTTGAGAGTTGGAAGTTTACTACTGGACAACAACCTAAGGGATGTTGGTTGGCAGTAAGAACATTAGGAGGCAAGCGCGTA